TTTGAACATAAAGATATTTTTCACTGAGATTTACCAGATAATTTTGGAGGGAGAGATTTTGAACCAAAGCAAGGAGGTCTAATTATTCATACTATTCTTGGTATGTTTATATTGTGTAAAAGTTTTAGTAACAAAAATTAAAAAAAGAAATATTGTAGTTTAAACTATTGTCTTCCCTTACTGGTCATAACCTATGTGATATTTACTTTTATTTCAACACTATGAGGCAAGTAGTGTAACTCAGTTTTGAAGATGGGAGAACTGAGACTCAGCGAAGTTGAATAAATGGCTTAAGATAACAATGTTATTAAATGGCAGATTCAAGATATAAACCCATATTGGACTAAATCCAAGGGATGTGCTTATTTGTAAAGTATCTAGGATGTTGGCGGAACAAAGTAGGAATAAGTGAAGATTAGCTTCTTTTTTCCTATAAAGGCCCTTTAACTTATGAAATGCTATGATTTGCATGGTTCTTTCACAAAGTGGTTTTTATTTGCCACAGTGGATGCCACAGGGCCTCAGAGAATGAATTGGCTTCCAAGATTCTGCTGACTGGGATTTAAACTTAATCCTCTTAAGTAGCATTTGCAATTTCTGTTTTCAACCAAATTCTGCAAAATTATTTTATGCTTCAGAGACTACAATAATTCTACTGAAACTCTATCTCTATTCATCATAGGGTAGATGACAAGACAGAAGATAGAGGGCATCGCATTACATACATAATTCTGGTGTGTTCCATTCATGACTTGAGCCATGCACTGTTTCCTAAATTGTTTGCTCAGGAAATGTTCCTAGCATCTTGCCATTTGAGTTTTGTATGTCAGATGTATGATTTATTTGTTACATTAATGTTAGTGATGGCTTGTAACTTTTCAAAACTACACAGATACATGGATACAAGATATAAAATCAAGTACATTTATACCATTAACCAGTGATAAAACTGAGTAGTAATTTTTAATTAAAATTTTATTTTCATAAACTGTTAAGGTGAAAAAGGGAAAAATAAAAAAGAATGCATCATCACAGTGCTTGCACTAACAAGTATTTACATGAAATAGAGGATCCTATAAAACTGAAAAACATTATTAATCCTTAAAAATACTTTAAAACAGAATTATTTATTAATGTCTTCCAGGATACACAAGAAAGTTATATTATAGTTTCCCTCTGCAGAAGGAAATAGGCTAAGTATAGAAAAGAATTTGGAGAGAGGACTTCAGCCATAAACTATGTCGGTGCCTTTTTGAAAAAGAGTTTTTGACCCATAATAATTATACACATCAAATTATGAACCCTTGTAAATGCATTATCAACATAAAAATGAGACATAAGATTTTTACTTTTTTAATCACCTTAATAGATCACATAGAATTAACCTAATTCTTAAGTTTTTGTTTTCTTATCTTTTAAGAATTCTCCACCTCTATTTTATATGGATTATTTGTGAAATAAAATGTTTTTAAGTAAATATCTTCCTGTGTTATCTTTCAGTGCCATATACATAGAGCAAGAGCTTTATCTGGGAGTAGAGGGGTACTCAAATAAGTATAAAACATGATCTTAGACTTTGGTGAACCTACCTTTTCTTTCCAGATGATGGAACACATGAAGATAGACACACAATATGGCAAGCTAAATTTGCATATGAAATTTTTACTGCAATGCTTCCCTTATATAAACTGAAATGAACAATTAAAATGACAAAAATTGGAGTAAGCTAGGATACACAGAGATTTTATGAAATGTTTGTTTTAGTCATATCATGAGAAACAGCAGTAAAAAATTCACTCGAAAACTTCAGTAATTTAAAGAGCACTGTATCTGTTCATCTCATATAGCAATCCAGGTAGGTTTTGTGATGACTGAGTAACTCTCTTCCATGATCATAAAAACACTCAGACCTGTAGTTACGCTGCCTGATTCCACATTTCCCACAGAGCATCCACTCAAGCAAAAGATGGAAAGGAATGCAGAAGAGCCTGGGTCCACACCTGGAATTGTCCACATCCATTCCTCTCACAACTCCATTAAGTGCTGCTCAGAAGGGAGGCCACACCTCACTAGGTAAACAGCAGCGGGGTGCAGTTTAGTTAGCCAGCCACATTTTCCTTAACACAGAGAGAAGTAGAACATGTTATGGTGAACAGCTGGAAGTGTCTATCACAGATGCAAAACATCATTGATGTCAAGGAATGAAGAAGAAGGAGAAGGAGAAGCGGGGGAGGATGGGGGAGGTGGGGAGGAGGAGGAGGAGGAGGAGAAGAAGGCAAAGAAGAAGCAGAAGCAGAAGAAGCAGAAGCAGAAGCATGGAGGAGGAGGAGGAGGAGGAGAAGAAGGCAAAGAAGACGAAGAAGAAGAAGAAGCAGAAGCAGAAGAAGCAGAAGCAGAAGCAGAAGCAGAAGCAGAAGCAGAAGCAGAAGCAGAAGAAGAAGAAGAAGAAGAAGAAGAAGAGGAAGAAGAAGATGATGAAGAGGAAGAGGAAGAGGAAGAGGAAGAGGAAGAGGAAGAGGAAGAAGAATGGTTTTAACCCAATAAGAATAACCAGGCTATTAACCTCATCAGGTTTCAATTCTTTAGCTGATAAACAAGTCTTATTCTAGATAAATTTTACATTTGTTTTTAGCTTTCGGGATTCTGTGGTTATGGAAGCTAATATTCAATGGGTATTGTGTTCATACTGGAAATAATGTGACTTATACCTCATATGAGTGGAATAGATCTCCAATAAATCATTGTATTCCACTAGAGATTGATAAAAATTAAATAACAGATATTGATCAAGTACATGTGGTGGTTAATTTTACCTGTCAAATTGTTGGGCTCAAGATGTACTCAGCTAGTAAAACATTTTGGGGATGTTTCAGGAAGAGATAAGCACTGAAATTAGTAGACCCAGTAAAACTCCACCTCTTTGGATGGGTATTATTCAATCCATTTAGGTGGTGGATAGAATATAAAGGTGGAGAACAGCCAAACTGCTCTCTCTTTTGAGCTGGGATATGCATCTTCTCCTGCCCTTGGATTGCAAAATTTCTAATTCTTAGGTCTTTGAGCTTGGACTGAATTACACCACCTCTTCTTCTGATTCTTTAATTTGTAAGGGGCATATCATGGGTCTTGTCATCCTTAATAATAGTAAGGCAATTTCCATAATAAATCTCACCTATCTCTCCATATCCTATTGGTTCTATTTCTCTGGAGTATCTTTACGCTTGATTACAAACTGGACAATTTGCCAGGTACTATGGGGGGACACAAAACTGTTAACTCATTCTTCTATTGACATAGATTACATACTACTTATGGGGACCTAATTTGAATTAAGAGAAAGGATGGCTAAAATGAAAAAGAATGGGATAGTCCCCGAGTTCCAGACCTCGATATGTAGTAGGAAATCAGGGTGAAACCCTTGAATATCTTCTATAGGATTTATGAAGGAAAAAAAATCTCTAATTGGAGGCTTTTTTCCTGGGATTTGTCTTTTACAATTGGTCATATTAAATTTACATTCATGGAAAGTTCTAATTAACTTGGGTGAACTATAGTCTTACTTCATTTACTCTATACTATAAACTAGATAATTAATTTAATATTCTTTATTAGATAAAATAAAACCTTTGGGGAATTGGAGTATTCCATATAATTTACCAGTTTTGATGAAAATATATTCTGAGGTGCTATAACCACCTGAAAATTCTGGCAAATGTAACATTCAACTGCTATTATGCTTAACCAGCCATATTTCTAATGTATTCTAGGACTCTTATATTTGGATAAAATGGTTGTGCCATGCCTTTTTTTCCTATAATATATGTATTTCTCAAAGACATTGTGTTCATAGGGAAATTGCAATCTTGAAGATTTTAGAGGGAGAACATTTCAATTCATTTTTATGTTCATTTTTGGTTTCTGGGTCATATCTTAGTATGAACTCATGGCAAATATTTCTGTCATCTTGAATACTGCTTCATTTTCCCGTTCTTTTGCAATAGAGGACCTGAGACTAGCAGTCAGATGAAATGTATGTCAGCTAGGTTTTCCACTGACAAACAGATACATGCTATACTCTCATGTGACTTAGGTATGACTGTCTTTCAGATAAGTGGGATCAACACAACAGTGTAGTGTATACTACTTGAAATATTACTGTTCTCTACATTAATATTGGACAAGCCCACTTCTTTCTCTTCAGCTACTAAATTTTTATTGATGAATTTAAAATTTTTTTAAATTCTATTTATTTTTGAACAATTTCTGATTGGGTGGAAAATTACCTTTCATGAATGTCTTTTTCCTCATCTGCAGTGCTAAAAGGCAAAGATGGTTTTTTAGAAATGAGTGCATTTACATTTTAAATGTGATCTGATTTATATTGTGCCAAGTACCATCACTGACAATTATATACACTTTGAAACTAAATTATGACTTAGAAATATATGTGACATATGTTCTACTCCAATTTAAAATATGCCTGTGAAAAACTTAAAAAGAAAAAAAATCACCATAAACCCTGCTAAAAGCTAGATTGCATAAATCAATTTATAGGTATTTTTCTTTTGTATAGAACAATGTTTATATCTCTTAACTTTTGAACACCATATAATTTCAAATATTATTTCATGCTATAGTAACAATTAATAAGAAGAATAATGAAAATAGTAATAGCATCTCACATCTACAAAGTTCTTACCAGATATCAGACTATGTAAAATATGCTTTCTGTGAGTTTCTCTTTTACTCCACCTAATCATTTCCATAGTCAAGCTGTCCTATTTAATATGTAAGTAAGGAAACTATAAATGATCAATTCATAGTATACACACAGAGAATAAATCCTTGTGAGGAAAATAATCTAGAACAAAGCAACTTTTAAAAATAACCACTCTGAAATCAAGGGACAGATCTAGCAAATTCTTTTTATTTACATAGAAATGTGTACACATAATTTTTCTGTACACAGAAAAATCTAAGTATATATACATGTATGGGTCCCACATATTTTACAGTAAATAATACTCTTATTTCTGGATGAAAATAAGATGTCTCAAAATATTACTCACCAATCACAAACTTACAAAAGCACCTGATGAAGTAAGAGCTGAAACATCAAGCTTGCACTACCACACACTAAGTCTAGTACAATTTTTACAAAAGACAAAATTGAACACTCTGAGGATATCACAAAAAAGAGAAGAAATGGAGATGTAGAATAGAAAACAGAGCTGCTGACTTTCTGAACAGGGTGTAAGAACATTTTTGTTAGTTAAGAATTGTCTTCCTTTATGTTTCAATTAAATGCTTTACCTTAGTGATATTTTACAGATAAGAAAGGGGAAAGAAGTGAACACCACTGTAAAAACAGTAACCACTCCATGACACCTGAGTTCTAGAAAACTTTTTTCTGACCAGACAGACCCCTTTTCCATGCTAATTCAGTGCATTCAGCGCTACCATACAGAGAAGACAAGAAGGACTGTTTTAAAGTGATATTAATTTGGAAGTAATTTCAAAAGCCTAGTGAGCCAGGAATCTTGGTTATCAGCACTAGATAATTAAAAATGTTAAAATATAACAAGTGTTAATCCCACTTAGAATGTGATCCCTCATTGTCATTATTAACTAAATGAAAGGAAAACATAATCCAGGAGGTAAGATTTATGAATCCAAAATCCTAGAATTTTTCTCCTCTACTTCCAAATTCCCCCCTACATTCTAGCTTAGGAAACAACCACTTTCTCTCAATTTCAGAGTTACTCTACCTATGTATCATGATCACACTATCAAATGAATAGAATGAGTTCCTAAGCTCTGGGGTGAATACAAACTCATGTCATTTTGATAATCTTACAGCGCTGCATTTGGTAAAAGACTCTAAAAACATTATGATCTTTACTGTTGTCTAACCGACATACCCAGATGTGCTTTCTCAGTGCGCCAGAATCACTGGGTGGTGACCAACACAGGGCTAAGTGTTTGCATCACATCCCATTCAACTCTAGCTCAGATGTATTTGATTCCACTGAAACTTCATACATGAATTTTGAAACAAATTTTACCCTTTCACCTCTCATATCAATATTGGCACAGATATGGGGAAAGACATAGCAGTAAAAACAGATTCATGTTGGAAACACTAACATCTATCAAATACAATCTTTTCAGCTACTTTACCGAATCTGCTATTTTGAAGTACCCTTTCAAAACATATCTCAAAGGCAGGCTTAGTTCAAGAGCAATGTTTATTACATGCATAATTTGATTCCTTCTTATTACATGTGGCTACCATTGATGTTTCTTTTAACCAATAATATTTCTAGAATTTAACCATCTTACATGGAGTTGATGGCTTCAAAACAGTTTGACTTTAGATAAAGGTACTTGATGATTGAACAAATATGTTTCCCATTTTAATATGTTTCTTTTTCTTTTAATTTGAAAACCTCATAGGGAACTATGGTTCATTGCCAGAAACAAAAGGGATCCTTTACTATGAAAAGCTGGACTTGTTTGTTGGTCATTCTAATTAAATATACAAATGTCCTCCATTTCTGTCACTGTGGAACAGGATTCACCCAGAAGATAAGTATGGAGTCTCACTATGGTAATTGTAGTCAGGACAGACCTTCTGCACAAGTTTATAATCAACACTGTAAAAGGCAATATAAATGCAAATGACCTTGAAGGGCTTGGAGCACAGCCAAGACACATGACTCTGAGTCTGCTCCTGGTAGCAGATCTTAGAAGGATCAAAGTTGCACAGGGCAGTCTTCTTCGCCCGATCTGTTTTTTCATACTCAATGCGACAATTGAAAGATTTGGATTCCTTGGTCTCCAAGGTAGACTGGGGAGAAACTTCAAACTCCACCACTTTGGAAGGAGGTACCAAGCTCACTGAAACATTACCCAGGCCCGTTGAATTATGTCGGAAATAAACACTGAAGGTTCCATTTCCATGGTCGACAATTTTCCCTGTGATGAGAAGGTTGAGTTTGACAGTTTTAATGTTGGAATGAAAGTCACCCCATCCAAACATTTTCTTAAATTTCCCTGTTTTTACTATTGGTCGCCGTTTAGTTCTTAGTAGTGGCTCCTGAACCTCCGTGATGTTGGCCAGCCAATCCCAAAAGTTTTCCATGTTGTCTGCATACGCCACAGGCCCAGGTTTTGGCACCGGAGACTGTTTAACAAACAGGCGCAGGGGACTGATGATCCTCGAATGGACCACATTTCCAACTAGTGTCCCTGGAGCATCTTTGTCTTCCCAATCCAGACCCTCTGTAGCATGTCCCACCTCACAGAATAGCTGTTGGAAGAGAGAAATAAACCTCAGGTTAGGGTTTGAGCCTGCACACAGATTGAGGACAAACCACGAGGGAGACTTTCAATATTTAGATACTTGCTAAATAACATTGTAGGCCAGTAGCTGAACTCAATGAGATGAGCACTTAATTTAAACTATGTAAACTGTAAGTACAAAAGTTCAAATGATGAGATGAAGGAGAGGGTATTTCATTATAATGGATTGATTTTTTAAAAATTAATTTTATTGGTACATTACAGGTGTACAATATAATGACACTCATCATTGGGAATTTGTACCTTTACTTTTCACATCTTTATTCTTACTTTTCCTCATTCTCCTACCTCCCATCAACCCTTCATCCCTCCTTCTTCACAAAAACTTTGCTTTCATTTTCTCATATTTATTCCATCCTTTACTCTCTGTTTGTTAATCTTTATGATTTTTCTCTTCCACACAGGACAAAGCAGCACATTTGTTTCCTCTTGTGATAAAATCATTAAATTTGTGAGGTATTTTCTTTAGGTAGAAGCCAAATTTAAATCCTGAAAATTTCTAATAAGGACCACCATGAACCATCTGAATATAAGATATTGGTAAATCTCTAAAAAATATTTGGAAGTACTAGGATGTTATCATACTCAAAGGCTTAAGACATAACTTTATAGCATTTGATACAAGTCTACCTCAAAGTCTGTAACAAAAAGGCATGCGATTAGTAGTAGAAAATTCTACAAAAATTTTAGTTGAAAACAAGTGATAAATTGAGTTGCCTTTTAGGAAAGGAATTAATGTGAGAAAGTATAATTTAGATAATAGACTATATGATTTAATAAATTATAATAATAAAAAATTATATCCAAAAGATAGAATTACTAAAAAAGATTCCAAAAATTATTTAGTTAAGTCAATACGGATTTTGAAGGGCAGGGTAATTATATATGAAACAGTTGCTTGGAATGAATATTTTAGGATGAGTTATAAAGTCTGGAAAATAGAGGTTTCTGGTGGAAATCCAAAAGTCTCTTATCTGTAATGGCACAAACTACTGTTGCAATGATTCTCCGGAAAAATGTCAGCATGATGAAAAGCACAGGAAAGAAGTGTTTATATTTATTCGTTGTTTCACTAGCCTTTTTAAATGTGGCAAAGCACTGCAAGAACGGTCTCAGATTATTCCAGAAATTATTGCTTTTAATCCAATTTAAAAAGTCAACACAATCTTGTTTATAAACATATTATTCATCTATGTGGCATAGTTTGATTAAGTGAGACTTTTGTATGCTCATAAAAGTAGAAGTTTAAGTTTTAACAGGAATTCATGAAAATCTTTCCTAATTTCTGGATATTCAAAAATATATTTTCTCTTCACTAAAATTATTGAGGCTGGCAGAAGAGCATGTTAATATGATGCATGTTCTTACTTTTATGAGAACTCAAATCCATATAACCTCTTCTTAGGAGCTTGCATATGCCCTGATTGATGCTTCTTTCTTTTTCCTGGTATTGTACAGATGACATATTAACCAGAAAAAGAGGCAGAATTACTCAGAATTTCTGGCTCAATATATAACTGATACTGTAACTACAGCTTTCTGATTCTGAGCATCTCTAAATGATGATGTGCATAAATCAACTGGTAATAGCCCATGGAATTCAGTACTCTGCCTCTGTTTTTGACTTGAGTTTCCTAAGACTGGTACAGGTGAGTCCAACTGCATGTCCTGGCCTCTCTCCAGAGAGAGGGCCAAGACCCAATGAGCAGGAACCCCCCGGCAGATCATGCTTTAATACTTGTTCTTCATGATCACAATTCTTTTTGCCCAGTCTACTGCCTATTTTTAATTTGTTTCCAATATTTCTTGAGCTTTGCCTTGCTTCTAAAATGCTGACAGATACTTCCACCGTTTGCTGAGCATCTGTTGTACAAGACATGTTTCTTTGCATCCTAATCTCTACTGCTTGATTTGGTACAGCTTCTCCCCTGCTTACGTTCCTGTCTTTCATAGACTAAATCCTTTCTGACATTTTCCCTTTTTAACACAATTTTTTTTAAACTTTCAGTTCTTATCTTTTTAATCTTCTACTAATTAATACTTTATTTTAGAACTAACATAAATTATCCACTTAAAAGTATTTTCAACCACAAATATGAAAGTATGCTCTTTTTTTTGTCTCCCTGCCTGCCTGAATTATTTTCCTTGATTCAGTGTTGTGCTCAGTTTTCTGCTCACTTTTCTGTTATTGAAAACCCGTAATATAATCATGTGGTCTTAACTTAGCTGATTTTGATGCATTTTAGAACACCTAATAAACTCCAACATCTAATAAAATGCCTCCCTTATTTCTAGGATTTCTGTTATGATGATTCTAAGCTTATTAAAATATAATAAGAAGTGGAGGCCAGGGACTTAGCTCCTTGGTGTTGCTGCCTGCCTCATAAGTGCAAGGTCCTGAGTTCGATCCCTGGCACCACCCCTCCTCAAAAAAGAATAAGAAGTGGCTTTTATCAAAACATTTTTAAAGATCTGAAGATTTTCCTGGGAGTAATTATGCTATAACAGAACTTCAACCAAACATGTGTAACTCAACTCAGAAATATGAGAATGGAAAAAAAAAAACTAAACCTATCAAACAGTTAAACCTCTATTTTTTTTTACGAAGGTGCTTTAACTCTTTAGCAAAGATTCTCCAGATAAGAGTTTGAAATGGAATTTGATTTTTAAAATATTCATTCTAACACAGTTCTCTTCTGACCCAACTTGCTCAAGAAAGAAATCTTTGATTTCAAGGTTGGTATATATAAAAAATAATATTTAGCTAATAGCACAGGTTTATAATCTTTTTTCTTTTATAGTGAAAATACTTATTGACTATTTAGAAAAAAATATGTGCATTGTATATTTATTCATATATTATACAATTATTTTTATAAGTATTTACACACAATATTTTTGCTTATCAGACCATCATATTTCCACTTGCTTTGACATTAGCCAATTTGAGAGGCGCTGTGTATTTATCTTTTTATTATTTTAAAATAGGTGCACAGTTCTCACAAGTGCTGATTTCCAAATCTAAGTTAAAATCTTCCCTTGATCTTAGCCAAAAGGCCAATAAGAGATTAAGTTAAAATCTTAAAAGTTAGCTGGTGTGGTGCAGCACACTTGTAATCCTAGCAAAGAGGTTGAGGCAAGTCCAACTAGTTCAATTCTAGCCTGGGTAATTTAGTGAGACCCTGTTAAAAAGTTTTTTAAAAGGCGCTGGGCGTCGGGTGGGGATGTAAGCTCAGTGTGAAGGTTCTGAATTCAATCCTGGCCCCCTAACCCAAGCTATAAGGAATAATATGCCACTAGAAGAATATATTTCAAAGAGTAAATATATTTCTGTGTTTTTTAAAATCTCTCCCACCTTTTTCTCCCTTTTATGTTACTCATTTGAATGGATGTCCTCTTGTTATAAATAATCATTTTATAGCGTCCATTACTCCTAAGAAGGCATCCTCTCCTTACCAGGTCAGTTTAGATAGTTGCATGACTTAAAATCTCCAAGGCTTGCACTTAAACTCAGATGAGCTAATCAGGGAAGATGGGGCCTGATGAGCTGAAACCTGTTCCCCTTTTATCCACATTCTCCCAACTGAAAAGCAGGTGGAGAAAGTATACAATATGTTGCTGATGTCCTCACCCCTTGCTTAAGTGCAAGAACTGAGCCCTAGTTTTCTCACCTACACGTATTGTGCTGGATGACTGTAAAGGCTAAACAGAAGAACAGATGGAAACTAAGCTTGTTGAAAGGTATTCAATGACTGATGGCTCTTCCATGGTCTAATGGACAGTCTTGTGCCTCCTACCCAAGAAATGCCTTCAAAGAGTTCTATGAGTTCTCAAACCACCAGCAATCTGATGAATGCTTAATTGAGAACTTGTCTCACGTCATGTGATAAATTAACAACCAAGTACATATCAACTTTTGCAGTCTTAGAAAATCAGTCAAATATTTTCTCATGTTTCTGGTCTCACTGATATTTGAATCACAGCCAGATCACAGCACAGGTGGGCTCTCTGTCAAGAAAATGTGTTTGTAGATCTTCCATTCCAAATTACTAAATGAGTCAGCAAAGGGAGCTGACTGTACAAAGCATCTGGCAGGTGGCCTCATTCCTGAACAACTTTTGTGGTACACCTTGCTGGAAGAAGACTATAGGTTCTGAAATTGTTGGCAAACCTCTCTATCCAACGCAAGATTGTTAGATGTTATCTACAAACACAGGGCTGTATCTCCCAGGTTACTTGTGTACTTTCTGGGGGCTCTTCATGCTAATTTCAGTTTCACTGCTGTCTTATGTCCCATCATATTACAATAAGTATGCAAAAAAACATTTAACCACAAGCACAAAATGGAGTTTTAAAAGGGGGAAGAAAAAGGAATTGCTGTGTTTTATCTGTTTGAACATTCCCTGATTTCAACACATTTATCAAAGCTTAAGTAATTTATGTCTTGGCAGGGTGTATCAATTTCACAAAGCACACACATTAGCTAGATACAATGATATAATATTAGCTTTTTCTGCATCTTACAGAAGAGCTCAAAGAGATTAATAAAAGCTCAAACCTTCATCAATTAAATGAAGCAGGTGGAAGGATGGGGGTAGAGGAATAAGACTGTTTTTCATTTCAGTTCTTTTGTTTTTAGGGGGACAAAGCTGACAGGTTCAAATCATTCATCATAACAAGCTGAAGTTGAATTTCACTGATAATTAAATGCTTTTTTCCCCGAGAGGCAGAGAAGCTGCAATGAATTTCATAGTAGCAGATGTGAGAACTGTCACGAATTATGGAAATAATTTATAAACTTAAAGGCATCTCTGCAAACATTCTATCAGAAGAGACTTTTCTCGACTGTATCCATTGCGTACTTTTTAAATTAGATTTTTATTTTGCAGTCATTTTAATTTACAAAAAAGTTACATGTAACAAAATTCTACTTATACTCTTCTCTGCATTTTCTCCATTGTGGACATCTAGTACTACAGTATACTTGTCGCCACTAGTGAGCCAGTATTGATTCATTATTATTAATAAACACCCAAACTTTACTTAGTTTTTGCTAATTTTTGCTTAATGTCCTTTTTGTTTGTTCTATCTAGGATCCCATATTATATTGAATCACAATGTATCTTTAGGCTTGTATTGTTGGTGATAGTGTCTCCCTCCTTCCTTGTTTTGGATGGCTTTGGATGTTTTGAGGAATATTGGCCAGGTATTTACAGACTGCCCCTCAATTTGAGTTTGCTTAATATTATTCTCATGATTAAACTGGGTTTATGGGTTTTTGGGGAAGGAGAACCCAAATGTAGGGTGTCAGTTTTATATCATTTCAGAGGCACACTCTAGTAGCATGCCTGCTGTTGTTAATCTTGATATGCTGGCATAGCTGAAGAAAATCCCCACTTTTTGTTGCTGTATTTTTTTCTTTTTTCCTTTTGTGAGATAGGGTTGGCTATGAAGTTCAGGCTGCCCTCGAACTCATTATGTAATCCAGGCTGGCTTCAAACTCTCATTGATTCTCCTACGTGGTGGGAGAATCATGCCCACCATGTTCAACTGAGATCCTTTAGAACTTTTTATTTTGTTGCTTTTAGAATTTTCTTATGACTTACAGACTTTTGTCATCAAAAACTTAATTTACATTTAATTCAGTGGCACTTGGTTTAGGACTGATTTTTTAAAATCAGAAATTCTCAAGCCATGTAATTTATAGCTTCACAACATTAATGAATTAGCTAAAACAACCTCATAGGTTTTTCTTAAGTACTCATACACTATTTCTAAATTATCTTGGAGATTTTCATATTATAAATGTGTTCTGTCATCCTCATTATTAATATTACTATTTAATTTTATTTAATATTAATTCCTTAAAAATTAGGCCCACTTTGATAATTAATAGTTCTAGAGAGAAGAGGTTATTTTAAAACTATCACCATGTATAAAATTGGAATTTCTTGCTGACTACATTAGAATCAAATGTCCCTTCTTGGTTTAGGAACCAGTTCACTGCACTGTAATTAATTCTACACATACAATGAGTATCAGGTTTTAGATGATTTTTTTAAAATTTCAGGTCAACCTGTTATAATACAAGCAGCCTCACCAGGTTCTATTCTACTCTATATTCATAGTGATCTGGATGGCACAGGACAATGAATGCTACTTGATTTCTTTTGGGTTCTGTGACAGTCACATATTTCCCAAAATGATAGGACAAAACCTTTTCTATATGTCTAGCACTGCAACAACTTTTTAGCTGCATGTTGGGCTCTATCCTAAAATATGAGATGAAATAACTTTTTTAACACCTAGAGAATAATGAGAGAGAAATTTAAAATTTTGACTTTTTTGGGTTCAAATTCTTTCAATGTATATCGCATTATTGTAGTACAGCTAGCTGTATCTTATAGTAGTCCTGACAGATAGTGTTTTTCTTAGTTGAAGAGACCTCAAGGGAAGAGATATCACCACAAGTTTGGCTGCTCCAGTCCAGGGAACTGATTTATTTATTTAGTACTTATTGATTAGTTGCTTATATGGCAACAGAGGAGTCAGAGAGTCCCCGATTTCCTTAATAATTCTAACTGAGCCCTTTCAGCCCACTGTTTCTAAATATTGACATACCCTGCTGAAGAAAATGAAATCTATAATAGTTCAGAAATGGTTCCACAAAATATTAATTTTTTTGCAGGTTAAGTGCATTGCTTTACTGACTTTGTCTGTACCTGAAATTATAGGAATGCTACTATACTTCCCTGCTACATTTGCAAATTATTGGACAGGCAGGAAAAAAGGGATATCCTGATTGAATCTGTCTACCACTGAAAAGAATCTGTTGTCACATCCATGGCTAAATTTACCCCATGAGAAAAATTGTGCCAA